CACACACACACTCTCCTCCTCCTTCTCCTTCAGAGACCCTCTCCTCCCACACCCTCTCTGGACTCCTGCCTGCACAACCCTCTCCTTCCCTCGCCAATTCCAGGAGCCAGTCTCGGCCACAGAGTGTTCTGCTGCTCTCATCAGGATCCTGGTGCTCCTCTTCTCCTGTAATTTATGCTCTTCTCCAAGTCTACCTTTGTCATTCTGTGGAAGCAAAAACTCCAAAGCTTGTCTTTGAGTACCCACTGTGGAACAATGAAACAAGTCTTGCAACAATTTCCGATGTCTTACCATATTATCTGGAGGGTATTTTTAACATGCACAATTCCTGAAAGTTGTAACCGCTGACACAGGGATAGCATCACTAAGAATAACACATAAATAGGGAATTTGTTTGAAAATTGACAAAAACTTTATTCAAAATAAGGGAACAACAAAATGATGCACCACATTTTCTACAGGTAGACATTGTGATCACAAATCTGTTATCTGCCATACTTTTAAACCCAACAATAAAAATGTTTTAGTATTAAGGAGCATCTCCTCCATTGTCAAATACGATGACTTTGATACATTTTGCTCCAGATTCATAACCGGAAGTTGGCCTCTTTAATCCTCCTGCTTCTTCTTCTTGCCCTGTGGTGAGTTATTGTTGGTTTGAGAGAAGTGCTCAGACATGGCAGCCAGTGCCCGGTAGCGGTGAGATATAGTATTCTTCACTTCTTTGGGCAGTTCAGCATAACTGCAGATGAAAGGGGAGTTAACAGTCAGTGTGTATATGTTTTAATGCTTGGCACAATAGTGATAAATAATCTCTGATGCACAGCATAAAGTACATACAGCAACGTATGAACTGCAATGTTCAACTAATTTCTCCACTGTGTTGACCTCTGGCTCCCCCTTGTGGTAAGAACAGAAAACCTCTAGCAGTCATGGCTTACGTTTTGTCATATCCTTCTGGCTGGAAACAGGGATCCCATCCAAAGTCTCGAGGTCCCCTTGGCTCCACAATGTGTCCCTAAATATACCCAAAGAAAAGAGTGAATAGAAAGTAAACACACACACAAACACTGAATCAGTTAGAGAGAGATTCTGACCTCTGTTTTTCCTCTAAAGAGCTGTACTGGTTCGTCTTTCCCGGCAGAGAAAGCAAAGGTGCAGAGAGCCCATGCTGATTTATCTTCAAACCCAGCTAGGAGTTTGTACAAGCCTACAACAAAACATCTAACAAGATTAGAGATGCTGGACCGCTCCACTTTTTCTATCCAGCTCTAAATACCTCTGTTAAAATATCTCAGCAGTGTTTCATCTGTTACAATATTTACCTTCTGGCTTGAGTTTATCCAGGAACCACTTTCTACAAAAACAAAAGTTGTTTTTTTGTAATTATTATTGTTTGTTACCGTTATTAAAGACTAAATGCTAAGCAAGCATTATTATACCAACATGTAAGGACCGGGCAGGCCTCCCAAAGCCTTGAAACACAGACAGGTGTCCTCCACTATGACCGGCCCATCAATCTGAAGGTGATGAACAACAACACATCAGTTTTCTATCATCAACAGACATGTACACACAGACATGACAGTGTCGTTAGAGTACCTGTCGTGCAGCCTCTTTACACTTCTGTATGGAAATCTCATCTGGCTCTCCTTGGTATTCAGGCACTGGATAAAGAAAGCGTTTGATGAGCAACAATTACATGAAAATATATATTCTATAAGTGGTCTCTCTTTTCATACTTACAGTCAATCTTTTTTGACACTAGTTTGAAGGGAAACCTGTCTCCCAGGATCTGAATGACCTGATAGATGTGACCAGAAAGAGAGTAAAGTATAAATCTAGCAGGACTGGTTTTTGTCAAATTAAACAAAATACTTCTGGAATAAACTGCAGCTCATGCTCATTGTCTATATTTAGCAAGCACAGTGTGATACAGCATAAAAACAACAAGTATCCTGCCTGGAAGTGTCCAGACAGGACAGCACGACCGTAACAAACAATCTGTCTCAGGCATGAAGTGTTTGACTTCTACCTCTTCGAGTTTCTTTGCGTTTCCAGTGACGAAGACCACAGACCTTCCTGCCTGCACAGCCATGATGAATGACACCCGGAGGATTAACGACATCGGACCGAACACTTCCGGTTTAGCAACGGCCAATAGAATCAGCTCTGAGAGCCGCAGCCAATCACAGAGCAGCGTGTAGCCCCTCCTTCAAGAATATCCTCCAATCAGCGAGCGGTACTGCCAGCAATACTGTCCGGCTTGAAACGTAAGTGCTGGTGCCATGTGGAGAAGCTGTAAACACTCTGTCACTGTAAACTGAGACGTTGCGGACTATGAGTCTTTTACCTCGCACTGCCGAGGAGTTCAGCTCCGCAGAGTACTGGGAGAGGTTCTTTAAGAAGCGAGGAGAGAAGGCCTTTGAGTGGTATGGAGACTACAACAAACTCTGCGGCGTGCTGCACAAATACATCAAAGTCCAGCATAAGGTAAGACACAGTGTTGAGGAGCATATACAGCCGATATACAGTGTCACTACTATACATTTCAATACAGCATGAACAATTTGCCTGATATTACTGTTTTTGTTTACTTCCTGCTGATATGCATGTCACTGTTCTTTCCTTGTCATTTTAGGGTAATAATAATAATAATAATAATAATAATAATACACTCCCTGTCTGATGTGGACAGTGGTGGAAGAAGTATTTAGTTGCTTTACTTAAATAACATTAGCAATACCAGTGTAAAAACTCTTCATCACAGAAGTCCAGAATTCCAGATTTAACTTAAGTTAAAGTACAGTGTATCAGCATAACTGTACTTTAAGTACCAAAAACAAAGGTACTCGTTATGCACACAATATGGCCCCTGTGAATGTTATTATTTATTATAGAACTGGATAGACTAATACTACCACATTGATGTGAAACTAGTGTTTACAGTACTACTTTACTCTTCTAGATGTTTGTGGTGAATCCAGTTTTATCTGTTGGGTTGTTAAATCTACACAAATGCATCATACTTTAGAAGTGAATCATGTGCATATTATACATTGAATTTGCAATTTAACTTTAGCTGTCAAATAAAGTAATAAAGTAAGCAGTATTATCAATAAAAAACAATCAATAAAGTCTAATATTTTGCAGTAATTGTAGTGGACTAGAAGTGGTGTAATGTGGCATAAAATGGACCTTCTCAAGTAAAGTACAAATACCTCACTTAGGTAAATGTGTGTAGTTTCTTTCCATCGCTGCCAATGACAAAAACTGATTAATTTACAGTGTGTTGTACTTCTGTCCTTCAGGTGTTGGTGGTTGGTTGTGGTAACTCTGAACTGAGTGAGCAGCTGTATGATGTTGGCTACAAGCATCTAACTAATATTGACATTAGTGAGACAGTGGTGACCCATATGAACCAGCGAAACGCTGAGCGCCGGCCAGGCCTGACCTTCCATCAGGTGGATGCTACACAGACTCCATATGAGGATGCCAGCTACCAGGCTGCTCTGGACAAGGGCACACTGGATGCCATGGCCTCCGAAGAAGAGGGAGCACTGGCCAGGAACATGCTCACTGAGGTGAGAAACCAATGGGTCAGGGTGTACACAGATCATATGTTTTTTTTCCTCAATCGGTGCACAGCAGTTTTCTTGTGTCTGCAGGTGGGTCGTGTGCTAAGCGTTGGTGGCCGGTATGTCTGTGTGACGTTGGCTCAGGAGAGTGTGATCAAGTTGGCTGTGGAGCACTTTGTTCAGCTGGGATGGGCAGTGAGGCTCCACTGCCTGCAGGAAGAAAGTGGGAAAGAAGAGGACTCCTTTGCTCTGCCTGTCTTTGTTCTGGTCTGCACCAAGTTTCGTCAGCCTATGCCCACGCCTATTCTGGAGATGTGTCTTGGGGAAGATGGAGCCCCTACTCGTCTCACACAGGTAACAGAGCTGTTGTCGGCTGTGAGGGAGCATCAGGCTTACTCCGTCTTGAAAAAGAGGCTCCGTACAGGCACAGACGCCAGCTCGAACCTGTCGCTCACTCTCTGCCATACCAAGACTGGCCTTCCCAGATACACTCTCACAGTACAAGACTGCCCCCCGGGTGCCAAGGTGCCAAGATCAAACCAGTTTGCTATTTTTATTGGTGAGCTCTGCTGTTATCTCATCATGTTTCTGCTTTCCTATGTACAATAAGTCACACTGGTTGTAATTTGTTCTTCTTTGGTGATTCCCCCCCCCCCCTCTGTTTATCCTGTCAGTCCCTCAAGGCAGTGAGACAGCTTGGCTCTACAGCTCCAGTGAGGGGCGAAGGCAGCTGGCAGCTAGCGCTAACTTTCGGCGCCTTGTTATTGTGGCAATGCACAGGAATCAGGAATACACAGACATGCAGGCTGTCCAGTCAGAGCTCTCACCAATGGTGATGGACCTGGCTCCCCCGGGTATGTCAGCCAACCAGCAGGTAAATGCACACAAGGGTTTGTTATAGAAATGTCCAGTACTGTTGTACAGTAAAACAGCATGTCGCAAACATTTGTGCATCTGTGAATTAATTTGAGCTCTCTGTCACCATTCAGGTGCCGTTTCTGTCAGTTGGAGGTGACCTGGGTTGGAGAGAGGAGGTCAGCAGGGGTGTGAGCGAGCTGAGCGGAGAGTACTGTGTGGAAAATGTGAAAGGAGAAGACGGAGAAATGTATCGGAGACTCGTTTTCCTGTCTAATGCTGCCCTTGTCCAATCAGAGAGCCGCCTTGTCCCTTCAAGTACTGGTCAGTTTTTTCCTTTTTCACTGTAATTTGTTGTGCACCCATCAAACAAAGATACCAACAAACAATAACAAATGTTCACAATATCAACAGAAAAGAAAACAAAAAAAGTGATAAAGTGTTGTTTTCATATACAGTATATAATATCATAATAATATTATAGTTGTTCATTATAACAAATTATGATAGACGTAGATTGGTGAAATGATTGAATATTTATGTCCCTACAGCATCAAGTCACAAGAAGAAAAACAAAAAGAAGGTCAAACCAACAGCTGCTCCAACTACATGTTCTACCTCTCTGTCAGTGGACAGTGGCTTCCTCTGCTGCGATCACCATGAAGTCATGGTGGCTGGCCTCGCCATGCTCGGGGCGCGCACGCCACTGAACAAAGGTCAGTACACACCTGTTTTGGACAAGAGGGTGGCAGAAGGAAGTTCTGACTAAACAACCGCTGCTTTTCCAACTTGATTTGAGCTTTTTCATTCCCCTCTTCTTCCTTCTCAGGTGTCCCAGTGTCCGTGCTCCTGGTGGGGCTTGGTGGAGGAGGCCTGCCTCAGTTCCTACGGGACTTTGTGCCTGATGTTACTGTTGAGGTTGTAGAATTAGACCCTGTTGTGATGGAAGTGGCGAAGGAATGGTTCGGTTTCCGACCAGATGATCGTTTGACTGTCACTCTTGGGGACGGCCTTGAACGCATTTGTGCCCTAGAGAAAGAAGGTTAGTGAAGGAGGAGTTAAGGAGAGGGCAGTTAGAAGTAAAGTTGCACCAGTGAATATAACATAACAATACCAAGAAGTGACTGTGGTTGTTTTTCCTTCTGTAGGTGGTCGTTTGTTCGATGTCATCATGTTTGATGTAGACAATAAAGATAGTACTGTGGGTATGAGCTGTCCTCCTGCTGCCTTTGTGGAAACCTCGACTTTGCAGAAAGTTTGCAGCTTGCTAACCCTCAGAGGTACAGTATTTTTAATTTCTCTATCTGCTAGAATCTGTGAAGTTTTCTGTAAAATAATAATGACAGTAAATGTATCGGCACATTACAGCCCCAATTAAGATAAGAAAAAGAACATTAAAAAAAAAATAAACGCCCTCTGGCAAATTACATAGACAGTTTTTTAAAGTCATAGTTGTGTGTCTCATGTACATAAAATCCTGTCTCCTGTCTCTTCTATCTCTCCTGGAACAGGTGTATTCATACTGAACCTTGTGTGTCGTGACTCGGTCTTGAGGAAAAGCGTGTTGGAGCGTGTGAGCTCAGTGTTTCCCACCATCCTCTCTAGAAAGATCGAAGGGGAGGTCAACGAAGTCCTTCTGTGCTCTCGTGGAGAAGATGAGACACCGGATGCTGCTCGCATCCTTCCATCCCTGAACCAAGCTGCCAAGAGTCTGCAGAGCGCACTGTGCTCTAACAGGACTGGGGCCAACAGCAGCCCACATATAGACATTGCAGAGTTGTTAAAAGACCTGAAAGTAGAGTAAAGGAGGGGGGGCGGGAGTTTAGGACAATATGTTGAGGATACTAAAATTTGAGTGCCATTCAGTGCAATGTAATGAAAAGTATTATGATGTATAACATATACAATCACAAGTAAAGAACATTTTATCTTTACGTCTGAATGTGGTGCTTCTACAAACATGAATTCCAAATGCTGTATATTTGAACGTGCATTACTATTGCAACACTTCACCATTAAATGTAGCCTTCAGTTTCTCTTTCACTTGCTTCAGGTTTCCAGTGTACTACACAGTGCTCACTCCCTCATTGCCAAAGAATGCTGCAGCGTTATTTACAGTAGATGAATCTTACACTCTGGTTCTAGTTGCAGTGTTTATAGGGCTGCAGCAGAGCCCTACCCCTCGCTCGATGAGTGGGATTTTAAATAGCTGTCGGCTAGAGGAGTGAATGCTTGCTCGGTGTCTGATAAGTCAGGGTACTTTCATAATTGGCTATGAAGTTTGTCTGTCTTCTGGATAAGGGGGTTGCCGAGTTAAAGTTGCTGCTCACCGCGCATGCGCACTAAAGTTGATTCCGTTAGCTGTCAGTAGAATGTTTCCCTGCTCTCTAATGGACCAAACTCAACGCAGCGACCAGCGACTAGCTTCTTAAATGTATCCAGACTTTAAGGGAAGCAACACACTGTGAACTTATGGAGTTTTAAAACAACAAAATGTCTTTTTCGGGCTGTTTTCGGAGACTCGAGGTCTGTGAGTACAAACTGGGACACTGTCGTTGTGCCCAGGCGCGCTCACGGTAACGTTCCAACGGCTACTGAAGTTGCCTTAAAAAGTTGGCACCGTCCTTCAGCACGAGGATTCATTTTACGTGTTGGACACTCCAGTAATGAAAACAGCGTAATTGTAAGTAACTTCTAATTATGGCAAGCACTCTGTCGACGAGTGTAGCGTAGAACCGGAGTCAAACAGGATTTAAAGGAGCCGGACACAGCCAGGTAGCCCGGCTGCTGCGTTGCGATGGGCAACCGCGGGATGGAGGATCTGATCCCGCTGGTCAACCGCCTGCAGGACGCGCTGAGCAGCGTGGGGCGGAGCTGCAGCCTCCACCTGCCGCAGATCGCTGTGGTGGGCGGCCAGAGCGCCGGGAAGAGCTCCGTGCTGGAAAACTTCGTGGGCAGGTAACGTAACGCGTTCACTGTGAACTGTAGGTGAACTGTACAGCAGTGGGGTTTATCTACTTTCACAACCTCCTCCGACTGTACACACTCTGCTGGATAAGATTTAGGTACCACTTTCTTACAGTGGATTTTATCCGGGGTTAATGAATGTTAGATATTGATTTATTCATTTTAATGAATAATTTACCGATGCTTTCTAGATGAGTTAAAAGTCACATGTTAACGACATCTGGTTTTTTTAAGTTGTCCATAATCCCTTTGACTGTTCTGGACCAAAATCCAGTAGCAACAAATTATACTATAAGTCTATTCTTATAACTACAGAGTAGATAGAATATACTTTAATGTCCCCGTAGAAACAAAGAAAGAGTTTGTATTGAAGGATTAAACTGAACAAACATCTGCTAACAGTATTTTTCACAACCTGTCAAACATTGTTTCCATTAATGGCTTATAACTAATCTTTAAAGCTTTAAATAACAACCTTATTCGGTGTCAAGGACCCCCAAATGAATACCATCAGGCTGTGAGCAGTATGTCTAACATCTAAATAATAGCAAAATTAATATTCTCAATGTTTCTGGGGACCCCCTCAACGACCCCTGGGGGTCCCCGGACCTCAGGTTGGAAACCTTAATAAAGCCGGTAAGTTTACCAAGCTTATTGACCCATTCTTCATAAATTATATATATAATTAATTATACTATGTAAAGTTTCCAACAGTCTATGATTAAAACGTATAAAAACATTTAGTCACCTTAAATCACTGAATAACTTGTCTAATTCACGACTAATTCTAATAAAACACTTTAAAATGCCTGAATTATTATCAGTGTGTCTATATTTTAATAAGTAAAATCTGACTTTGTAATTTACTTCCTTCTGTTTGTAATGCTAAAAGCGAAACCTAAAAGTAGTTTCTAAAAGTAAAGGCGTGTTGGCCGCTGTGATTCGGCGTCAGGGACATGCACATACAAAAGGATCTGTGTTCTGCTGAGTTTAGACCAGGACTTCAGGCAACTACTGTTACCAATTAGTTACCAGCGCACTGTTGAAATCACTGTTATATGTGGTGGTCTCCACCCAGCACCAGTGATATGGATTGCGGTGCTGGTCTGAAGTGTTGGATGCCGGAGGTGCCAGTGTCTGTGTGACAGTAGCCAGCACAGCACCTTATCTCCGTGAATGAAAGGGAGGTGAACAACACGAAGAGTACTGGACTCTGCAATCTTTTATTAATCTAACAATCCCTCCGTCCACCACAAGAGAGCTGAACAGAGCTTTGTTGAATTCACATCTTATTCTGACCTTTAACAGAGTTTCTAGAGCCGTAAAATACCGCAGGCCTCGTAAATAGAACGGCTGTTTGTCTAAAGTTTAAATGCAAAATGCGGTGAGACGATTCAGTTTGTGACGAGGAGGCTAAGTACTTCCATCCTGTCAGGAAAGATTCAGGACAGCAGAGCTCTGTTGACTGAAGGAGGCTGTATTGTCTGCAGCCGTCGTCCAGCTCACAGTGTGTGTGGTAACTGCAGAGGGTTGTTGGGGCTTGTTTTCCTGACTGTGTGTGGACATTTGATCTCACCCCTCAGTTCTTTGTCTCAGCTACGACACAGCTATGTTACGGCATCCCTTTTGTGGAGCACTGCGCCAGATTTTTGATCTTGAGACAGGATGCAGTAAAACAAACTTCCTGAATCTGATTTCAAAAGGAAGGAGGAAGATTATTTTTGACCCTGTGTGTGTGTGTGTGTAGTGTTTCTTGACATATATATCTGGTGCGGCCGATAATTATACAAAGACTTTCTCAGCCTTCCTGGTCAAGTTGTTAATATTTTGGATAGTATGGTGCTTAAAATAAAGCTTGTTGCTTTAAGAGGCATTATTAACAAGTAATGTAAGGTCTTACCTGTGCGTTTACAACATGTAAATGTCATTTAAATGGTGTGTGTCAAGCCAATGATTGCATTGACATCAAATGTGTTGGCAGTTTGTGTGTGTGTGTGTGTGTGTGTGTTGTGTGTGTGTGTGTGTGGTTGTGGTGCGGTTGTGGTGTGGTGTGTGTGTGTGTGTGTGCTGTGTGTTGTTGGGTTGTGTGTGTGTGTGTCCTTCTCTAATTCAGTTTTTCTTCTCCATCAGAGACTTCCTTCCGCGTGGTTCAGGAATTGTCACTCGTAGACCTTTAGTCCTCCAGCTGCTAAGTGGTAACACGGGTAGGTGAGACACACTCATATTCACTCATCCAGTCTGTGCATTTTCATTCTTGTGTTCAGAGCCGCCACCAGATGGCAGTATGCTGTTTTACAATGCCTGAGCCCGACTGCTGCTGGGAGAGTGCACAAATTGTCATTATATGGTCAGAACTGTTAGATTGCCTCCTGTATTTTTGGCCCTCTTGCTGCTGCTGCAGAGAACAAAGGTGGTAGGCTATGTAGCATTTATATTATCAAAAAATAATCAATCAACAATCACAAATGGCTTTTAGACTTGCTGTAAGAGTACAATTAGAAATAAACTTGACTTAACTGAATAGCATTTATGTATCCTGCTGTAATAAGCCTTGTGGCCTGACTCACGGTAATGGTAAAGGTTGATGAGCTGGATGGGCTGGATAGTCCAAATGTCCTCCAAAATTATGATCACAATATGAATGTGTCATTGTTCAATTGTTTCCTTTTCTCTCCAGAGTACGGCGAATTTCTCCACTGTAAAGAAAAGAAGTTCACAGACTTTGATGAGCTACGCAAGGAGATTGAGGCAGAGACATGCAGGCTCACAGGATCCAATAAAGGCATCTCTCCTGTCCCCATCAACCTGCGGATTTATTCACCACATGGTAACACAGTGTGTGTTCGTGTGGGCTCAACGTGCGCGCAAAGTTTACTTCTCTGATGTCCTTATTTGTACTCTTCTGCATGTGCATGCGTTTGTTTACAGTACTGAACCTGACCCTTGTGGACCTGCCTGGCATCACCAAGGTGCCTGTAGGCGACCAGCCAGCAGACATAGAGTACCAGATACGAGACATGATCATGCAGTACATCTGTAAGGAAAACTGTCTCATCCTGGCTGTCACGCCAGCCAACACTGACCTGGCAAACTCTGACGCACTCAAACTGGCTAAAGATGTTGATCCACAGGGTAAGCTGTGTGTGTGGTGTGCTTGTGTAGTCTGTGGGGTCTCATTATGTCCTGAGAATATGGCTACACACCCTGATGTCCTAATGCGGATTAATTATCACATTACATTGACCATAGAATTTCCTCTATTTTTTTGTCTTTCTTTCAGGCCAGCGCACAATTGGTGTAATCACTAAACTGGACCTGATGGATGAAGGAACAGATGCTCGGGAAATACTAGAGAACAGGTTGCTTCCTCTACGCAGAGGTGTGCTGCTTGTGTGTGTGTGTGTGTGTTGAACCACCTAGCTGTAATGTATTTATTTGTATTTATTTGTAATGTATTTACACTGCATCCAGTGGACTGACAGTATGACTGTGTCTGTTACCTGCAACCAAAGGCTCAGTCTCAGTCAAGCTCATTCTCCCTGTCTTACGCTTCCTTCCTGTCTCCTTTATTCATGGTCTTTTTTCAGTATCTCTTTAGCCTGTGCCATGTGTTGAAAGATGGCCATGCACTTTGTATGACATCCCAGTCGTACTGCTGAGTGTGTGTGTGTGTGTGTGTGTGTGCGCGCACATTTGTTCTTGTGTGTATGTATGCGAGAGATAGACAGAAAGACAAAGATGATATTAATGGCTAGACACAGTGTGTGTGTGTGTGTGAGTAAGAGAGAGAGAGGGAGAGAGAGAGATAAAGGCAAGGGAGCCCCTGTGACAGTGTACAGACTGTGTAAAGCACCACCAGGTGCTGGCTCCTTCATGCTTTTCCTTCAGTGCTAATGCATTAGCCATGGAAGCCCACTGAAGTAACCGCCTTACTAGCGGCATAGAGCTGAAGCATTAGATATGGAGCCTGGTGCTATTACATCTATTACTGTACTAAATAGGGGATTTGGCCCGTTTTCTACCACATGCTCTGCTGTTGCATTAACATATTGATTTCCTGCTTGTATGCTACAATCTTAATGGAACTAATCTGGGAAGACTTCCCAAGGACACGTCAGAAAATGCAAGTTTAAACTGCCTTACATCGGACGGAGTTCTTGATTGTTCCTTCCTCCTGTTGCTTGTTGACTTCTTTACAATGTTCACATGCTCTTTATTTCCCTTCTCATCTCTTCCTGCCCAGGTTACATAGGGGTGGTGAACCGCAGTCAGAAGGACGTTGATGGGAAAAAGGATATTAAGGCAGCTCTGGATGCAGAGCAGAAGTTCTTCATGTCCCATCCAGCCTACAAACATATGGCTGAAAACATGGGCACCCCATATTTACAAAGAATGCTTAACCAGGTTAAAAATGCACACACACACACACATAGAGTAAGTAAATATATTGTGTGTATATATTGTTACTGATAATGTTTGTTCGCAGCAACTGACAAACCACATCCGGGACACTTTGCCAGCCTTCCGTAGTCATCTGCAAACCCAGCTTCTGGCCTTGAACAAAGAGGCTGAAGAGTACAAACAGTATAGTCCTGATGACCCTGCGCGCAGGACCAAGACACTGCTACAGTCAGTCAGTCAGTCATTCTCGATGTGTGCGCGTACCCATTTATCGTCTTTAGGTTATTTATATGTCCGTTTTTCTCCTGGTCTGTCCTCCAGGTTAGTCCAGCGCTTGGCTGTCGACTTTGAGAAGCTAATCGAGGGCTCAGGTGACCAAGTAGACACCATTAGTCTGTCAGGAGGTGCTAAAATCAACCGCATTTTCCATGAGCGCTTCCCCTATGAACTGGTCAAGGTTTGTGTGTGTGTGTGTGTGTGTTTCTGTGTATGTTTTTTGTTTGTCTTTGTACATATATAGTGCTTGTCATACAGTAGCTCCATAAATAATGTATGTGCATAAATAACTGTGATGCTAAACTGTAACGCTCCTCAGCCAAGTGCTCCACTCTGACCGACAACGTGCTGTGTTTGTCTTTAGATTGAGTCAGATGAGAGGAAGCTGCGGCGGGAGATCAACTATGCCATCAGAAACATCCATGGTGTCAGGTACCATGTGTTAGTGTTCTGAGCAAATGTAAAGTGTCAAAGTTTTTGTTAGCTGCTGCCAATCTACTTTGTTTTTTCTTTTTTACTTTCTTCCATCTGCCTCTCTCCCCTATAGGACAGGTCTGTTCACTCCTGACATGGCCTTTGAAGCCATAGTGAAGAAACAAATATCAAGGATAGAGGGGCCGTGTATGAAATTTGTTGATATGGTCAGTCAAGAACTAATCAACACTGTGCACCAGTGTATCAACAAGGTATGTATGTGTGTATGTCATATACTTTTGTGATATACTGTACATTTCGTGGCGTCAGCATTGTCTTATATGTGGCTTCTGGTCTGTTTTCTCTCTGTAGCTCAGTTCCTTTCCCAAACTGCAAGATGAGACACAGAGAATTGTAACCACTGAAATACAACAACAAGAGAGTAAATGCAGGGACCAGGTCATTCACACACAGTTGGACAATGCATTCATAAATTAGCTTTAGATAACTACTGGATTGTTAAGTTTTGTGTGAGGCCTGTTTCTATAATTACCGTGTGACTGGTCTGTGCAGGTCATGTTGCTGATTGAAATACAGCTAGCCTACATTAATACAAAACATGAGGATTTCATCGGCTTCACTAAGTGAGTAACGGGTTTAAACTATAAAATTGGTTTACTATAAAATTAACAATACAATCAGACAGAGTATATAACATGAGCTCTTCCTGTCTCTCAGCGCTCAGCAGGCATACAACCACAACAATAAGAAGATTGTTGCAGGGGTAGCAGGAAACCAGGTGAGACTTTCAGTACAACTGCATTTATTCATTCAGCTGTGTATTAGATTGAAAACATTCATGATCCAAAAGATTTATAAAGAGCCTTCTTATCCAGAATCATGTTCATCAGTTTTAAGAAAAACAACAAGCATATATTTGTGCATGACAGTGTGATGATGATATATGCAGGTCTAAACACTCACAAATGACCCTTTGCTGCCAATGGTTCTCTGCAGTGCAATATTTGAGTGCATGGTTATTAACGTTTTTTTTTTTTTAACTAGTTTTTTATTTTCATCAATTTATTTATTTTCAGTTTTATTCCCATGTGTTATGCATTAATCAGCATTAATCAGCATTAATCAGCATTCATAGCTGCAGATAAATGGGAGATTTTTGTGCTTTTACTGATGAGTCATCCAACCAGAGTTTATCTTGGCTTTTAATAGGAATGCAGTCAAACACAAATGTGTCATTTTTTGTTTTTTTTTCTCAATCTGTTATGATTAATATGTAACATAATATTTATCTGACACATTTGAAAGCTGGAGTAATTAAAAACACAATCCCAGTACGGTTGTATTTATTCAGGAACATTGATGTATGATGATAATATTAGCTGAACAGCAGTACATTTCAACTACAGCTTAAATGTGGCTTTGATAGTAGCAACTATTTGAAAATAGTAACTATAAATTATCAACATCAGCGTCGTTCCCTAAAACGTAATCTAAACCCCAAATATAATGAAAAAATGAACTCCACTCTTAATTTGACTCCTTTATCTCCTGTTTTTCTCCAGGGTGTGGTCCCTCTTTCAAGTCTAATAGTAGGAGGCCAATCTCTTTAAGCCTGCTCACTCACTACTGCCTCTACTGGAAATATTTCTGTGCAGGATTCAAGCTTAAGGGTTGTGGGTTGGCTTGCTACTGATGGCAGTTAACATGTACACTGGCAAAATCGCTTGTTGTAGCTTTATTAATCATTCTTTTCATCTTCTGCAAATGCAGATGTTAATATTTTCCTAGTCTACAGGATGTATATGTCATTTCTTGGTTTCTGTATGCCATCTCATACTTCCTGTTTCCTTATTCATCACACATCTGTATTCCAGTCTCTTCCATCCTGTTCTTATCACCAACTGTGCTTGGTTACTTTGCTTGTTTACCTATGCATCTAATCTTCTCTTTGACAGTCAGTGAAGTGTTTGGTGATTGCCCCGTGGCTGCATAATCTATGTCACAAATGTCTAAGACGCAAAAATCTTGCCCTCCAATGTTAACTGTTTGTAAAATGTACTCTTATTTTCATCAGCAATGTCCGCTCTCATTGTGTTGCCTCCTTCGCACACCTTCATAGTTATACCTTGCTATCTAAAATCCAATAAAAAGCCATTGTAAATGCCCTGTCAGTCCTGCCAACTGACTCCTTACCCATGGCTGTTGTGCAGGTTGTCCGCAAGGGCTGGCTGACCATCAGCAACATTGGCATCATGAAGGGTGGAGCCAAGGAATACTGGTTTATTCTCACTGCAGAGAGCCTGTCCTGGTTCAAGGATGATGAGGTGAGGCATTCACACTCACACTCATGACACAAATAGATCACACCAAAACATGTTGTAATTATGAAAATGGTGAAGTCAAAACACAGCAGTACACTTTAGTCATCACAAGTTTATTAACACATATCTCAGCTTGAACCAGCATGTTAACTGGGAAGTTGAAAGATAATTAAGTGGAAGGGAAATCTTTGGTCTGTTGATATTGTTGTCACCATTCCAGTAAAGCCCCTGCAGTTTTATTGAAGTAAGTGGAAGAGCTAGTGTTCTGTTCTGATGTCAGTGGGGCTGCCATCTGTCTGCCTGTCTGTGCCTGCTGTACAGGAGCAGAAGGTCTGCACAGCAAGTGTAGACAGGCAGACACACCACAACAGTCTCATCCTGTCACAGTCAATGTCATGGGAAGAGGAAAGGGCAGAGTACAGGAAGTGATATCAGAAGAGGGGAACACATCCTAGTATTTTATATGGAGAGAAACAGGCACCTTTGTGACATATGACACCAATACATGCATAATGGAGAGCATCTTTAACCCTGTTTCTCTATCCAACTAACAGTTTTCTTTGCTTTTCTCTCCTGCCACCTGGACCTGCAACTGAGCCCCTCCATTTCCCCCATTCATTCCTCTGACCGCCCCCCTTCCCATTCGTCCCGCTCTCCGCTCACTCTTCCCCTTACTCCCCCTTTTCTTCCTCTTCTGGGAGTTCAGGCATTTGGAGCGGCTCACTCTGACACAGCTGGAGCTGCCCCAAGCCAAACTAAGACACACACATACACACACATGCACGCACGCAAACACACACAGTGAGACAGACTTGTATATACAGTATACAGTACACATGCGGAATCTGATGTAAACAAACTGGCATGCAAATAGTGGAGAAAAATATACACTCACTCAGACAGACACACAGCCACTTTTCAGATAAACACTGAATCGCTTGAACACAGTGTTCCCAGAGACAGCCCCAGGCATGCATATTGTACACACAGTGTTATAGGTTTACAAATCCAGTCACACATACACACAGACTTAGCACATCTGCAACAAATGATACTAAGACAGGCAAGCAAGTATCTGTTGACCACATCAGAGCAATGACTTCTGGCTGTCTGCGGATCACAGTGAGACACGTAGGTTTCACCACAAGGATTGAAGTGTATGGGAAAATCTCAACCTTTTCAATTCATTTTGGCCCGGTTGGACTAGTCATTGATTGATCTTTGCACCTCCTCAATCTGATTGAATGGTTTATCAGCTGTGTTTGGAAGGCCTGAGTGCAATGTCAGTCACCCATATTATCACAGAAGATCAGATCTGCTGCCTTTCCTCATGCATCTGTGCGTGCACACACAGTCACACAAACCAAGCGTCTGCTTCTCGTCTCTTGCAGTTCCCGCTCTCACTCTCCCGCCCACACTACCTCCACAGACATTTCTTTTTTCTACTACTGCCCTCCTTTTTATTATTTTCTTTTTCTTTACCTCTGTTGCCTTTTCCTCCTCCTTTCTCTCCCTCTCTCTGTCTGTCTCTCTCTCCCTCTCTCTGTCTCCCTCTGTTTCTCTCTCTCCCCCTTTCTGTGGTTGGCAGTCTCCCTGGGACTGTGCACATTCCTGGCTGGAAAATCTGAAGCTTTGTCCAAACACCAGCTTCCAAGATCTGCCCAGAGAAATCCCACATGGCCGTTTCTACACTGCAGACCTCCCGTTTTGACTCCCCCTCTCTCCTCTCAACTCCTCCATAGTCTTTCTCACAAATAATCCCCCCCACCAACACACACACACACACACACACACACACACACACTACCCCCACCCCTTTCAACCTCCCCTCTCCATCCCTGTGTCGATTGCCTCTCTACACTCCAATTTCTTAACGTCTTTAAGGCTGTAGTACATCTGCAGTACATCTCCTTTCTGTGTACCACAACAGTTGTTGTACCCTCACACTGCCCTCATACTGAGAGTGCAGCATAATAGTTCAGAGTTTAATCTCCACAGCACACTGAACAGACATACATTCCTTCACCCCTCTACTGCCAGGGCTCCACCAGGCAGCCTGAAGAAAAACAGATGGCTCATGCCTATACACTTAATCTACACACTCCCCTCTGTGTGTAGGTGTGTGTGCGAGAGGCCTGTTCCAAATCTCAAATCCATTAGTCTATAGGAAGAGGAGACAAAACTTCAGACGCAGCAGCTCTGATGTATGATACTTCACGACCACCCTGACACCACTGGGAATATAACACACACACACACACACACACACATACATACACAAAACAGTGCCATGATGTCTGTGAACACAAGAGTTATCACATTACCACACAGATTTACATCCTGAAGCTCAAAATACCCAATTGGACACACTCTGAAAAAATGTTTGTTTAGAGCTACATTAAAGGTGCGTAAAAGAAGCTTTTATGGCTTAAATATTATTAAAACAACAGACAGTCTCAAGTTATAGCTTCTCTTTCTTGAATGTCACTTGCCTTAAATGTATGTATCACTCGCCATTAACAAAGACAATTTTTTCAAGGTGAAAAAGTCTACAAAATGGCTGTCATTACACTTAACAAAGAGCCAATGACATTTGAATGCATTTTGAATAGTTGTAAGCTAGCAATATTGTATGCACATTTAAAGGAATTGGCACCCATTCAAGCAAGAAACATCAGAGAATATTAGACCCCAGATTTGCTTCAGCGTAGAGTAAATGCAGGTTGTCCTGAGTCTTGCTGCTGAAGCACTTCCTTGCACAGTCTAACCAATGTGCAGACTACTGTACACCAGTAAGATCCTGAACAGGTAGTCTGAACACTGGGATGACGGAGCAGGACCCTTTCTCAGTTTCTCTTTGGCCTCGCCTTTTCCCACTGGTTGTTAGCTAGCAGTCCAGCCTGCGGCGGAGGGGAGTCGGCAAAATGTTCCTTCTGTTATTCTCTACTTTCTTATCCTCTCTTGGTGCTGGTTCGCAAGGTGAGGGGTCTCGCACACAGCGGACATCCACTCCTATGGGTGTCCCTCCTCTGGAGATGATAGTGTATCTCGAATCGGGTGTCCGCAGGGCTGTGTCCCAGCGTAGTATCCAGTCTTGACGTGGCACATTCGCTCATTCAGCTAGGGATCTGCCTGTTCACTCGGGGAAGGCATAAGGAAATTTGGGGAGTGAGAGAAGGAGAGAGAGTTAGGGAGGAACTCAGCAGCCATATATGGGTTGATGGGACCCATGGGAAATCAACTTTGGAGTGGTCTGCAGTTTCTCCCCACTTCTCCTGCACAATCTCTCCTGCTCTCTATGTTTCTCAACTCTTCCACTTCTACTCTTAGCAAAGTCCACCTCCCTCTATCTACCTCTATCCCTCCTCTTCCTCTCTTCCTCATCTCTACTTTCTATTTCTACCCCATCAGAGCACCCTATACTCTCTCCAGTCTCCTCCCCCTCTGTCTAAAGCGATCCCAGATGTTGCCCTATGAGCGCCAATCCCGTTCTGTCATTTTTTTCAGCCTCTGTTACAGGAAGTGGGCCCCTTTGGAAAAAAGGAAAGAGGGACGAAGGAAGAGAGTCGTAGGGTTCAGGGGAGCACTGAGAGAGGGAAGACCAAAATGTACTACCAGCGTACTCACATCTCAAACCACATGTGCGCACGTGCTCAAATGCAGGCGGCGCACACATGCATCCATACACACAGACAACATGCAGGATTATTAGGACATCGTCTTTTACAGACATGCTTTAGTTCTCTTGTCTAAGGAAGTGTCTTTGCGTCATGCGTCCATGACTGTTCCTATTACCAACCTTTCTGGAAGCCCCCTTCTCAAAGGTTAGAAAGAGGGAGCAGGCCAGTGAAGAGAGATGAGGGGGAAGGGCTTTACTTTAGGAGAAATGTTGTGTTAGAGCTTGAGTCTGAGTAATGACTTTCACATGTGAGCCCGGCCTCTCTCCCTCTTTTTTTTTCATACTCCTTCTCTCATTCCCTCCCTCCTTGCTTCAGTTCTCTTTACCCTGCCTCCATACTGTCTGGTTCTCCTCACCCTGGCTGCTCCACTCCTCCAACTGTTCTCTGTCATTCATAAGTCCCCGTAGTGATGACAGACTATAGACGTATGGCATCTCTTTCCCCTTCTCGCTCTCTTTCTCGCTCTCTCTCTTCCACTGTCCCTCTTTCGCTAGTTAGGGGATAGTTAATATGAGTCAGTCTGACAGGCAGACGCATCATTTGATATGAACTCAGATGCTCTGCTAGCACTATGTTCCACATCTCCTGTTCGCCTCGCCGTCTGACATTTTTCTTGCTACAATTCAAGTCTCTTGGCTCTCTTCTTTCTTCTCTAGGGGCAGGCTGAAAAGAAGAATATTTACTACCAGACATACAACTATTTTAGCTAAAGCCCCCAAGTGAACTGTCTTTAGTCTGTTGTTTTTTGCCATCAACACCTGTGTTACCTCTCTGTGATGTCATATTTTACTCTGCATACCTCTGTCAAACTTTATCTCTCCGTATTCTATCTTTTCCAGGAGAAGGAGAAGAAGTACATGCTTCCTCTGGACAACTTAAAGCTCAGAGATGCGGAGAAGGGGTTCATGTCCAGCAAATTTGTCTTTGCTATCTTCAACACAGAGTTAAGGTTTGTGTGTGTGTGTGGCTGGAGGCCTGTGTTTGTGTATGTGCGTGAGTCAGAGAAGGGAGTTTTGTTCTTGTCACCGGCTTGCTGAAGTTTCAGTGATATTTTACAAGGGTGGACATGTCAGAAGAGGAAAAAGGAGGAGATGTTCTAGTGGTCTTTTGCCCTTTCTTTGACCTCTTCTATTCAACTATGCCACCGGAACCGAAAGGACATCCAGTGGGTGTAGTTTTTTTGCCTCCAAGTATATGCCAGGCTCATGAGAGTAGGGTTGGGTTTGGGTTTGCTGGGTTTATGTGTGTGAAACAGATTGAGAAAGACAGAGAGACAAAGACAGAGCATAAGAGAAAGAGAGAGAGAGAGTGTTTAGGAGCTGGAGCTGACCCAAAGCCTGGCTGATTGTACCAGAGCATGTGGGCTTTGTTTATAATTCTGTGCTATGCTGCATTCAGACACACAAACTGGATTTGTGTGTGTGTGTGTATGCGTATGTATGTGTGCTTTTGCCAATGTGTGTGTGTATAGACCACAGCATACCGACGGCAGGCTCATTAAGCAGCTAATCAAAGCCAGAGAGCTTGGATCAGAGATGAGGCTGCTCTTGTTTGGAAAGAATTGCTCGACTCACCACAAAAAGGAGGGAGAAAGAAGAATTGGAAGGGTTGAGAGGAGAAAGAAAGCGGGAGAGAGAGAGTATCAGAGCCATCGGCCAGGAATGTGTCAAAGTCTGTCCTATGGCGCCCCCCCCCCCTTTCCTGCGCCCTCACTCTCTCTGTTTCTCTTTCTGTATTTGCGTGTGTGTGTGTCTGAGTGTGTGTGGCAGACATTGCAGTGGTTTTGTCCCTGTCTGACAGTAATCAAAACCCCTCAGGAAACTCTTCAAATCTAAAGCAGTCAAGGCTCTGTGCAGAAATTCCTCAAGATGAGTGAAAAAACTCACACTGGCCACGAGCTGAGGAGAGGATAGCAAAGTGAACGAGGAAAAAAAAATGTTGATGTGAGTGATAAATCAGCGTAGAGAGCGATTTTAATGTGCGTTCGCTGGTGTATATGAATGTTAGTGTCCTGATCCTAGTGTAATAGCACTCTAGTATTGTCATCGTTGGCCTGGCTCCCTGTCTGTTAGCCACCACACCCTGACTTATTAGCCTCACCCATCCTAGCCAAGCCATAAGCTGACAGCCTATTTCTTGATCTTTCTGTACAGCTCTCTGTTACTGCAAGCTATCCCCTCGTTCTCTTTCCATTTCTGTTGTCTCTCTCATTCTCACACGCACAAAGGTTTCACATATTTGAGGTTAATTGCTATGTGTTCTGAATGTGAGAAGGGAACAACAAAAGGAGGAAAGAAACAACTGAGTGATTAAGGAAAAATGTTTAACAGATGGGCCACAGCTTGCTCCAGATCCTTTGCTTGTTTCTTATTGTGCTGTGCTGCCTCCACAGCCAAAGCACAGAGATGGTATGATGGTGTGAAGAGAGAAGTGACAGGAACGATGGAAGGGAAAGAGAAGCCAGGAGAGCGAATAACATGGAGAAAATAGATGATGGAGATAAGGGGATAAGTTGCAGTTTGGGAGGTCATGTCAAGCACAGCAGTTGGGGAGAAATTAATGTAACAGTTTTATTTTGTGTGTCAGCAGGTATTTGTATGTGTATACACACTAAGAAATTAATGTACGGGAATGGACCTAAAAGAGTACAAATGCTTCTCACAAGCACTCTACCTTTGAACATGGTACATTTTTTTACCTTATTTTCTGTACCTCTAAAAGAACATTTCTGTACCCCTAGTGACAAAATGTACCTTTATGTCCTGGTACAGAAAGGAGGACAAAATGAGGTACAGCTGGAGCAACATGCCATTGTGTACCTTTATGTGGCAAAAACATACCCTTAAATTCAGAGACCAACATTTTATTTATTGTTTTTTTTTAAATTTATTTTAAACCAAATTATTCAGCAAAGGTTCACTGATCACATTTGCACTGTTAAACATTCATACCTGGAAGCTGTCCAGTACAACCACAGCGTTTGGGGTTACAGGCCTTGCTCAAGGGCACCTCAGTGGTGGTATTGACGGAGGGAAGTGCTGCTTCTTCACTTTTCCCACCCAGATTTATCCTGCCAGTTAGGCAGATTTAACCCACGACCTTCTGGTCACAAACTCGCTTCTCTGACCTTTAGGCCAACACTGCACATTTATGATTATTCACCAAAATGTATTTAAAGACATTTTTCAGCACCTTTTCATTGTATTTTTCAGCTAGAACTGATTGTCCATAACAAGTGAATGCCGTAACAGCCTAAATCAAGTTTCAAACTCTGTGAGCTTCAACTCTGCAACGGCTCCATAAGGGAGGGCCACGGCATAAAGTTTAATAAATACAGAACAACTAGTCTCCATGGAGAAATACAAAAAATGAGAAAAACACAATAAAACAGTGATACTACTTAAACAAAATAAAATTGGGAGTAATGGTAATGGCTGGTGGAAGTATTTCACTCTGCTACACTGACAATTAGATACTTGATTAAATCAACAAAAT